ATGCTGGCAGGAATTGATACCAACTTCACTGTCACAAGTAAACAGGCCGAAGACGCAGATTTTGGTGAGCTCTACATGATCAAATGGACAACACTTTTGATCCCCCCAACTACACTTCTCATTGTCAACATGGTTGGCATTGTTGCTGGATTTTCTGATGCACTGAACAAGGGATATGAAGCTTGGGGCCCACTTTTTGGCAAGGTTTTCTTTGCCTTCTGGGTGATTCTTCATCTCTATCCCTTCCTGAAAGGTCTCATGGGACGCCAAAACCGGACCCCAACCATTGTTGTCTTGTGGTCAGTGCTCTTGGCCTCTGTCTTCTCTCTCGTTTGGGTCAAGATCAATCCATTTGTCACCAAAGTTGATAGCTCAGCCCTTACTCAAAGCTGCATCTCCATAGACTGTTAAACAAACTTTTCCACGATTTTGGCTTCATTATATAGTTTCAAGCTCTGAGCATGAAAAGTTCGCTTCTTTCTGGAAATGCCAATCATAAATTTTTTTGTTTTTAAGTTTAGAAACAGATTTTTCAATCCGAAAACTGAATAGTATGGGACGACAAGAATCTGCTTCAAGTTGGGAGATTCAAATAGCTATGAATTCTTTTCTTTTGCTTTTTTGACAAATCGGCCGCCTAGGCGGGTCTAGGCGGCGCCTAGGCGCTAGCCGGGTCTAGACGGGTCTGGGCTCCTGGGCGGGTCGGGTCCTTTTTTTATTTATTTTTTTATTGTTGCCTTTTTGATTGCGTAGGATAAGAAAGAGCTGGACGCCACGCAAATACAGACCATGGGCTTTCGGCCTTTTGCCTTTAACGGAAAACTAATTTTCCAAAGAAATTTGTCAGACTTAGATAGCCCTTAACTTACTATTTAATTACATCATTAGCCTGCTGAAACTTGAAAGTTGAAATCGGGCGTTGAGTCGTTGACCCATTTTCCTTCTGGTATGGTTCATGCGTTTTCAAACAATGTACACGTGTCCTCTCACATTACACATTTCATCTCATAGCTCATAACAAAGCCCTTGGTTTTATCTATTATTTACGCACTCAACCTATTAGCCTTTGCATACAAGCTAGCATCCTTTTATTTTAATAATTAACGTTGCTGAAAGAAACGGAAAGAGAAGAGGTTTGGCAATTTTGGATTTAGGGAGGTTCATCAACTAAATTATGATCAGAGCAAATAATTTCATCCAAAACCACCTAGGCCTGATCAAACTTGCTACCCCAACTTCGTGCCTTAAAAACTGTAAGTGTTAATATCATAGCTTATAATGTCAACAGTTAAGTAGAAGAGTGAATGATGAATCGATGCGGAATATAAAGTAAATTATATATGTGCAATTTATAAGTACGAATATCGTTAAAACTTGGAGCATGAACTGAGCTATAAATTCAAATACAAACTTCAAATATAAAGTAAAATGTATATTTTATTATACACACTGCAAATTTAACTAAGAATCCTGTGATGAGGAAATGGATTTATGGAATTTTCCTTCCCTCCAAACAAAACGACAAAGAGGATGTATGGCAGAAATTAGACAGGTAAAAAGTAGCAGCATGAGTACTACCAGCAACAGCTGGACAAAGAAAACAAAGTCCCATTCTGCAATTTTATGCAGAATTCAAGGGCATAGAAGTATTTTAACCAGACACACACACCATCCTAAATCTGATCTCACGATCTTCCCAAGCTCTCTCACTAGTCACTGTACACACACACACACTCAAATACCTCACATAAATTCATACACACACTCTTCCCCACAACCCCAAGCTCTCTCTGACTCTGTCTGTCTCTGACTCTGTCTAATGGAACCACCATTGCTGCCCAGTCTGCTTCTCCACCTCCTCCTCCTCTCCACCACCATCACCACCACCTTCTCAGCCTCTGCTCCTCCTC